GATGAACAAGAGATATGTGGTTCTCATCCTCAGGAAGCCTACAGTACATCAGCTGTGCCAATTAACAGCTTCTGTGACCATAGGGAAGTCACTTAACCTCTTTGAGCTTAAACTACTCCAAATGTTAATTGACTGGAAATTCAAAAAGCTAACTAAAATGTGAACTTGTTCCACAAAGGGCTGTTTAAATACAAGTGTTTGCTTAATATTGATGTTTTTCTACCACATGGCTACCACAAAACACTTATTCTATACAGACCACTAGCAACGGGGTGTGGGAGCCTTGATTCTCTTCTTACTGCCCTCGCCAGCCCAGCTGCAGTCACAGAATTGAGTCCCCAGGAAGCCTGAAGAAAGACTAAGGGCCCTTGGACCAACGGGAGTTACTGAATATCCCATGAGTTCCATAGTGAAACATTAAGCTACATCAGGTTAAGCAGGTTTCTTTACCCATTCATTTAATAAATATTTATTGAGTACCTTGACTTTGCAGTGTTCCCTAGTGAGGAAGCCAGGGGAAAAAACAAACATTTTAACAGCTGATTTAATTGATTAATTTTAATTTGGATTAGAGCTTAAGGGAAACAGAGTCTTCAGAAAGAGCCACACTAGAAAATACCTGCATTGGTTAAGCTGGACAGAAAAGGTCTCTAAGGATAAGTGGGGCTTTGGCTGACACTTAAAAGACAAAAAATTGCCTATGCAGAGAGAGACGTAGGGGAGCCCAGGCAGAAGAAACTGTGCACACAAACACACCTAGTTGAAGAAGAGCTGAGCATGTTCGGGAATTGAGGACTTCTTATGAGCTTGACAGAAAAAGGCTATTTATAAGTGGGAAAGGTTAGTGGACTCTACTTACCTAACTCACAAACCACCTTCTCCAGAGTGTCCCAGAGCCTTCATAACGCTAATGTTACCAAGAGGCTCTAACAGAAGGATCCAGGGTGTACTTCAGCCCTTCTAAAGTCAAATCTCTGGACGACCAATGTCCCCCAAATACTCCGGGACATGCTCTTCTAAAGTGCCTATTGTTCTATTAGTTCTGATTGTTTCAAGACACAGGTGATTTGAAATGTGCATCACTACTCATTCGCTCACAAGGCTGCTGATGCCTCAGCTAATTATTCAGTGTCTGATATGGTTCTCTGAATTCTGGCAGGATTCATTTGCAAAGGAGGAGATTTCCATGCATAGGCTAGTGTGTGAGCCCAGGAAAGTCAGTTACAAATTGAAACTGAACAGAGACTGTGAAAACTTGATTTTTAAATGATTAAACTCAACAATGATAATCGCCTATATTTTTATATCCTAGGTCAAAGATAAAGAAAATGAGAAAGAACAGGACACTGCTTTCATTCATCATCAATAAATGTACCATGAGATACAGACCTGAAATAAGAATTATTCCTTAGCAGGAGGAAAAAAACTTTTTCCTTTATATTTAGATTTTAGCATCTAATTGTATATTTCTTTTACTGCTACGCTGTGGAAAAATGCTTCAAACTTATCTCATTTTTCCTGTACTTTAATAACGAATACTTTAATTGGTACACAGGAGAATACTGGGCTGTCTACCTTTAAGATACTCCTGGGATCTTAAATCACTGTAGTCCAAGTTATACTATGCACTTTATACCCAGCCGGTTAGCAAATTAATTACAAAGATAATCATGTAAGTGAAAAGTAATTTTTATCAAAAGAATACAGGATTCTTGAAAGATATTGCCAGTCTTTTAAATGAATCTGTGGCATCACTATCATAACCCTTTTTCTTTAAATAACCATTTCATACATGCTTGCAAATGATGCCTACGAATGGCCTGATCCTTTGTTTCCCCACATCCAAAACCAAAAATTCAAAATCAGATTAGACACATGCGATTCTTCCACATTCAAAACTATCTTTGAAACTAGGAGTAGCTGTGTATTCATAAGGGATGTAGGTCTGAGCCCAGAGAGAGTTAAATTAATACCCTGGCTTCACCAGTTCAACTCCCCGTACATCTTCATTTTCCTAGTAACACAATCTATAGCCAACTGCTAACCAAGTCAATATGTGGTAAGACTAACAGCCACCCTAACTTGACTTGATAATTATTCTCCTTTAACTGACATAATATTCAATATACTGTTGTTGAGAGCAATAATGCGAAAACTGATGCCTCGAGGGCTACAAGACAATTGAGTTTTAGCTAGATAAAATGACTTGTACACTGATAGTGCATTATAGGGTTCCACAACCTTTGGATGCACATTTTATAGTCTACTTGTACAAAAATGTTATATATAATTATATTCAAAGTCACTTGTGCATACTTTATTATTACTACATATAATTTTAAAAATATTGATCAATAATCAAATAACACTGTTTTAGAGGAAAAGGGTTTATTTCTATAGTCTAGCTCTTGTTTTGGGGGGATTTATTATTTTTTAAATGAGCATTTTCTCACTACACAAGTGATAACAGTTTTGTGTCCTTCGACTTCTTGCTTTTCTACTAAATCAAGAACTGTTTTCTCCAAGGAATAAGTAGGTAATAAATGCTGAATAACAAAAAGCATCATTTAAATAAAATCTATATTACATCAATTCTATCAATAAACAAGACAGAAACTAAACCTAGTGCTCCTCTAATGTAAAAATCATCTGTGATTTTCTCAAAATATCAATTCTAGACTGAATGGAGAAATAGATTATATTACATTTGAGGCTTTGTAAAAAATGCATATTAAATTAATGAAAATTAATAACTTAAATATAACAATAAATGACAGTGTTCTTTATATACACTATTTCACCCCAAAGTAAGAGACTTGGTAAATGGTTAGTTTGTGGTTTTGCTGAATTTCTTTGTCATGTTAATTTATCTTGGAATTTTATATCTTTAAAACCTGATCCATCATACAAAAAGAAATATCGAGAACATTTTCTATGCGTGCCTTAGAGCAATGTTGAAATTTGGGGGGGAGGAAGTAATTAACATCTACATAATGATTTCAAGTAAAACAAACAAACCAAAAAAACAGGCACTGGTCAAGACAGAACATTAGGACCACACCACAGAACATCCGGAAGGTTCTGTATTTACTGACAAAAAATGCTGCAGTAAACTGGGTTAAGATGGCAAAGAATCATAGTCATCCAAATACCTATTTGTTTGGACAGAAAGACACCATGAATATGCTCCACATATTTTAGGCAAACATATACCCATAGAACTGAACTATAGCACTGATGAAGAAAACAAAAAGCATCGAAGTGGAAGCAATAAAGACAATACTAGACTGGGGCAGAATACTTTAGGTTTCAAATAAAGGAAAAAGTGCTTAACCAAGCTAAAAGTCCCATTCAAAAATCTGCAAGAGGTTTGTTCCTTCATGTACAATAAAATCCATCCAAAATGGACATTAATAATCATGTTGTGGAAATGTCTGCAGAAAGATGCCCGCATGCATCTTGAGGCCAGTATGATCAGGGCTTCCTCCATGCTTTAGTTTTCCTGGCCCTTTCCTCCTAGATCTTGTGCCCCCTCAGGTCCCCTGACCACCCCAGCCTTAACTTTCCACTCATCCCACTGAAATGTCCCCATCCTGAGGCAAATGAGCGAATGCCTGCGAAAGTCTTCTATAAACCAAAAATGTAATATATAATTATTCCTATTATCATCATCTTCAGAAGGTCAAATCTTCTGTGCCTTCCAAGTTGACATCTCACTAAACTAAACCATAGTTCTCTGCTAACTAAAGCAGTCATGGGAGCAAAAAGGTATTCCACCTCCCCTCTTTCTCTAAGTCCACTGTTCTCCCTCCCCTGCTCTCCTGCCCCCGCTAACACGTGGAGGTACCACACAGGAGAATGACAGGAATGTGTGTGTTTTCATGCCAGGTTAAAGCAAGGGGAGGCTTGAAGTCCCCCACTTGTCACATACCAAGCTGGGAGCCAAGACCCTGCACACAACACAAGGTAATTCGGGGAATAAACAGGCCGGCAGAGGCAAAATCAATTTTTTTTTGAAGGGGTCAATTCTCCTGGTATTATCCCCATAAGAAATTTCAAAAATCACTTCAGAGTCTACCTTTTCCAACTGTGTTCTCCTTTGGCAGGAGGGAGTACTTCTTCATCATCCAGTGTAGTCTTTTTGGATCCTGGGGTCTCCCAACATGCTGTTTTCAACATTTACCCTTCAAGGGTCGTAGGAAGACAGATGGCCACAAAAACATTTCAGAGGCAAGGTACACAATGCAAAACCACTCATAACATACTGCAAAATATGACGAAAAGGGGCAGGGAGGTTGTGGGGGAGGGAGGTGGAGGATGCGGCCTCCTGGACAAGTTTTAAGACCCTTACCAGATCGGAAGTGCCACTGACACAAAGAAGGGGTCAGACAGGAAGAACAGGTACTATGAAGGCCAAATCTATAACCATATCTGCATGTTTTGGAGTGTGAAGGTTGATTGGTTATAAAAGCAGGGAATTTACAGAGGTTTCAGTTCTTCCTTTGATTTGGATGAAGAAGCAATAATTAGTTAGGATGCACAGACAACCAATAAAACACCAAACCTACAAAACAAGTCCTACTAAACCCAGATGAAATGTAATCTCAGATTTCCACACATCCATCACCCACCCCAAGGAGTCCCCCTCAACCCCCCCAATTTAGTAGGGCTTCAAGCAAGACTTGCTGGAGAAGCCAGGACCCTCATGTTGCCGGGAGAGAGAGCTGGATTCAAAAAGATGCAAACAAAGCAGCACTAGGCAACAGGCCACTTTTTCCTTCCTAATATACACCACAGAAGCCTGCTGCTGGCCTGCTAGGACATCATCCTTCTTTCCAATTCCCCGGCAAGCCTGCTGAAAGGACCGTTTTAACCAGAAGAGGGTGTGCCTGCCTGGGATTGGGAGGGCCAGGAAGGAGACCAGGTTTGCTTGCCAAGGGCTCTCACCCAACCCCTCCTAGAGCTGGCCACAGACACCAGCTTCAGCGTCCTCCCCCTACCTGAAGGATGTACCCCCGAACGTAGTCCCGCAGCGTCCAGCCCAGGCCGTGCAGGATGTGTAGCACCTCCTCCTGCTTCAGGACACTGAAGAGCCGGTCCAGCAGAATCTTTAGCCGCACGGGCACCGCTTGTGTCCCATAGAGCATCAGGCTGCTGATGTCAAACACCACGTTGGACTGCACGATCTCCACTTGCGTGGGGTGGTACAGGTGCTGGGTGCTGAGCTTATCCAAGGCTGCGGTGGTCCCACCAAGGTTCCGGAGGTTGATGGGTACAAAGAGACAGAGAGAGAGGACAGAAACAGACAAAGCAGAAACAAGTTACTGGAATTTATCAGGGCTCCACTTCTAAGGATGCATGATAACCACAGTTGTTTAAGCAAGAGTTTGCAATGTAAATAGCTCTCTTCCCACCTCCTCCCTGTTTTGTTTATAAATTGCAGACTGCAGAGGAAAGCAAGCAAACACAAAACACATTCAACTTTCGAAAGAGAGCCACTGAGGATGTTTCTAAATGACTGTGGCTGACTCTAAAAACCAGACTAATTAATTTGCTAATTGAACTGTGGTTCAACCCAAGTTATCATGGTGTCCTCCCACCCCCCACCAAAGAAAAAACAAACAATTCCCACCTCAAGCCTTTTAAAAATAAGATTCATCCCTTATGAAACCTGAATGTTTTAAAGAGGAAGAGAAGCATGTTCTTCAGACTACAGGGGTCTAAAAGGCCTAACTCAGAAGAAATAAGGAAAGCAGACATCTAAGTGGAGGGCTCTCAGGTTAAATCTGTGAAGGGAGATTATCCCGAGACTTAATTCTCCCAATTTTACCTCTTGCTGTTCACCTGTTAGATTTAGTTTCATGTTCACTGGCATGTTCTATAGAAGTTATTCAGAAGAAACAAACAAAAAAGAAAACGAGAAATTCAAGCCATAATTTAGTCACCTTTTAAACAGCTCTGACCAGGGTTTAATGACAGATAAAAATGGGGAAAAAGTGACTAAAATCAACGTTTGAGGATTTCTGTGTATTTCAGTTGTGTTATCTCAGTACAGAAACTAAGAATGACCATTCTCAGAGTAAACACTTTTCATGAAACTAGTATTTCAACAATTAGGCCTTTTTCTCCTCAAATCTAAGAAATTATCTCTCTCGCCTTGATCTTAAAGCCAAGATAAGATCATACATTCTAGTCCCCACCCTTATCTGAGTTACTGGGAACCCTATTGCAGATAATGCAATTATATTTTCCCTCAGTTTCTCTAAAGTGAACAATTAAGATTAACATTGTCTCATGTACACGGCTCAAAGACATGCTACAAAGATTAATGAATTCATCAATGAGAGAGGCTTTGAACTCCTTGAGAGAACACAAAAGCATTAGATCGACTCTAAGAATTATACACACATGACCTTCTAGGGATTAAAACAGATAAACACCTGAGCCTGAAAGATGGCCAGCTAATCTCATGAGTGAGGACAGTGGCTATCAGACAACAACATCCAGCCTCAAATCCTAACTATACCTGAGAGTACAGTACCCAACGTTTTTGCAAGTTCTAAACCCCTGCCTGGCCTTTCTCACCACTCTTCCTGCCACCTTAGCCCATCATGGTATGTACTGTACTGTACATGTGCACTCTAAGCAACTCTTATTTTAATATACCAGTATTTTTGCATATTAATGCAGGTATTTAAAAGTGCATGCACACACACGGTTTTCAGTTATTTCAAATGTATTTTTTCAGGGCTCCTCCTCCTCTCCCGTTTCCTCCTGACTTGTGGTCACTAGAGAGTTCATGTACTCTTGATAAATTGCTTTCTTACATCCATAGTGTAAAGGCCCTTATCATTTACCCGCCGGCTTCATTCAACACATTTACTCCCAGGAATACTTTGTCAAAGAGTTCGGGTTTTCTCATACTTCATTTCTTGCAGCCGATTTGTCTGATCTTTCCTATTCTAGTGGTTAAGTCAACTTTGAATAAATAGCCTTAAAAATTAATTTAACGTTTGAGAAAGATAAGGGATTCACAAGCCAAGGGACTGAAGTCTTCTCTCAGTCCACAGGGCATTTAGACTGCAAGAATGCAGGAAAGAAGTATTATTATCCCTGTTCTTCAAGTACAGCTTAACTACTCAGCCTGCTGATGAGTGGCTGCTGTGCTTACAGAATTCAGTGACCAGGTCAGGGAAAACCTGCTCTTCCTCCAGTTCTCTTCCACCAGCCTTCCTGGCCCAGATTAATTACTTCTTCACAAAATACGCTGCTAATACCACAACAAATATGAAATTGAGAGGGTTCAGTAGGGGGAACAAAATGACACCAAATCCTGATTTTTGTCCATGTGTTTGGACCTTGTACCCATGTACTAAGTATATGTAGGTGTGTGTACCAATGCGTTCAAGGGTTAGGTGGAAAGCTGACATATCAGCCCTCTCCCTCCCACTCCTTAAAAATGGCTGACAGTTTTTAGAAGATAAAAAAGACTAAACTGTTGAGGGTAGCGAAACAAAGAGAAATTGTTCAGAAAATTGAAAGAGAACAGATGGAATAGGTATGGCAAAAACATTTCCCTAGATATACTTCTGAGAACATCAGAGAGTGAGAGTATTATAAGGACATTACCTGATTCTTCTTCATAAGTATGGCATATGTCAAGAAGTGGGATTTCTGTGATAAGCCACAGAAACATAGAGCACAGGTCAATAACTTTTTCTGTAAAGGACCAGATAGTAAATATTTTTACTGCTTGTGGGCCATACATTCTTTTTCCCAACTAATGACCTCTGCTGTTATGAAAGCAGGTGAGACTGAAACTAATGGGCATGTCTGTGTTCTAATAAAACTTTATTTTCACAAACAGGCACCTGGCCACATTGAGCTCTGATATGCAAGGGTGGACCAGATGTTTTTTTAAAATTCAATAACAGATAAGGAAAAAGTCCTAAGAGTGTGATTTAAGCAGCAATTACCTAGGAGATAAGCCATTGAGGAAGGCTTGAAAAATATTACACTGCCCAGCTTGCAGATGTCAACTGTAAATTTCAGCATAAATGTATCATCCACCATTATGATCCATCAAATTTCCTGACTGTATCAAAATTTTCTGCTTTATAGTTGCCCGATCATACTGAGTCACCAAGTTGTCAACAACTTTTGGGGATGTCTCCTTTGTGAACACAGATTAAGTGATGATTTTTTGATTGTCATTAATATTGAGAACTGGACTTCTACCTAATGTCATGATCTTCCTACATCTGAATGTGGAGGATTCAAGTCTAGATCTTAGTAGGGTTAGGAATATGAGTTGGGCCAATGGGATGAAGGAAAATTAGGGCAAGAATTTTTTTCAATGGCATGAAGTGGGAAAAGATAGTCACCTGCTTTATACTCTATGGGCCTAACCACCTGCTAAATTGTCCTACCACCTGCTAAATTGTCCTATACCACTGGTATTGCCAAAATTTCATTTTCAAATAAAATCTTAACTGGAAATGGATATAAAGACATAAAAAAGTGAAGCTACTCTTGGTGAAGCTAGAGTGAGCATGGATTAGAGAACCTGCAATCATCTGTTATTCTCCTCTTCCCTTCAACTTGTTTAAGCATCTCAACTGGAACCCTAGAGTTCCCAGAAGCACAGTTTGAAAACACATTTTCTACACGATAAGATGGAATGAATTGTTTTACCTGTTTTGCATCTACTCCACTCCATTCTAGTAACAGAAACTGAATTTCTCTTTGGGGAACCACTTTTCCCCTATTTTATAAAACAGGATATTCCTTAAGCCAGGCCTGGAAAACCAGTACATCCCAGTCCCTGAGCCACAGCAACTCATTCAAGAATGGGCAAGTGATCTAATCAGAACAGTGGGATTGGGCAAGTGACCTAATCAGAACAGTGGGATTGAATCCAGAACTTCAGTTAGAAATAGTGGGACATTTTTCTCTTTCCTCAAAATTTGAAGCTGGTAAATATGCTCGAGAACAAAAGTCACATGGAAGACAGCTGGGATGCAAGGTGGTCTGAGAAAGGCCAGGTACTGCCAACGTTGTTTGATCCAGAAGATACGGACATGGTCGTTTTTGAGGCTGGTACTTTACCTGGAATTTTCAAGTACGAAAGCCAACAAACTATCTCTCTTTTCATGTCTCTTTGAAGTAGGATTCTGTAACTTGTGTCTAAAAGAGCCTTGACTAAGACAACTACCTTTGGGGTACTTTTCCAGCTTGATACCATGTAATTTCAAAGCAGTTGCTAGTGGTTCAATAAAAGGTATGTTAGTTCCAGGCCAAAAGCAATTTCTCCAATGACTTAAAAATTTCATATCTTACACAAATTTATAAAGAGTGATGAATGCCATCAACATTAATAAAGAAAAATAATTGCAGGGGAGTAAAGGAAATAACCCTTTAAGTACTAACTAAAAGTCAGGCATCTTCCTAAGGTGTTACAATGATCTCATTTTATCCTTTTAAAAAATTAAAAACACACATTATTACTATTATTGCCTATTCGGAGAGCAAAGGCTCAACCAGGTTAAGTAACTAGTCTATGGCCACTTAGTTATTTCTCCCAAGAAGATTCTCTTTCTACCACATGCTCAGATAAACAGTCAATAAGAAACTCTGGGAACTTGAAAATCTTCATCATGTTAGAAGTCCCTAACTCCCAGCAATCTGGGCTTCTTGCCCATCACTCTGCTGAAGCAAGCATTTCAAAGGTCACCAACACCTGCCTTACTATGAAATCCAATAGCTTTTCTCCTTCATTATTTTCCATGATCTCTCCATAGCAGCTGACCTTATTGATCACCCCTCCTCCTAAATGCTCTTCTCCTTCACTCATGCATACATTCATTTATTCACCAGCACTTAACTTATCACAGAGGTAGGTGTCGCATGCAGATGCAAAAGTAATTTATGTTGTGGCCTCCACCTTCAAAGGTAGACAGATGCAAGCAATATAAGTGCTATAAAAAAGATTTGATAAAGTAGTGTAGGACACAGAAGAGACGGCAATTCAGCTGGGAAGGCATTGTTTTGTACAATAACTAGGAACTCACAAATGACATAGGAGGGGAGCTAAGGTAAGATGGAACTAAGGTAAGGTTCTTAAACATGTGCACCAGAATCAGCTGAAGAACTTGTTAAAACACGGGTTGCTGGGCCACCCCCACCCCCCACTTCCTAGAGTTTCTGATTCATTGGTCTGGGGTGGGGAACAAGGAT